TTGCCAAATAAAAGGGTGTTCAGCCCTTTTGTAGATGTTCGCCTTGATAGATGTTCAGTCCGATAGATGCGGCTTGATAGATGTTCAGTCCTTCAACCTTGAAATTTTAAAGGGGCCAGACCCAGGAGCTTATTATGGAGACGGGGGAAAGACGCGGAGACTTATTACGGAGACAGGGAAAACGCCGGGAACTTATATACTGAGCAGGGAAAGACGCCAGGAGACTTATATACTGGAGACAGGAAGACCCAGGAGACTTATATAGGGAACGGGAAGACGCCAGGAGACTTATATACTGGAGACAGGGAAAGACGCCAGGAGACTTATATACTGGAGACAGGGAAAGACGCCAGGAGACTTATATACTGGAGACAGGGAAAGACGCCAGGAGACTTATATACTGGAGACAGGGAAAGACGCCAGGAGACTTATATACTGGAGACAGGGAAAGACGCCAGGAGACTTATATACTGGAGACAGGGAAAGACGCCAGGAGACTTATATACAGGAGACAGGGAAAGAGACACCAGTTGAAGATGGCGTGTGAACCGGCGTATGGACCAGTGTATGGACCAGTGTATGGACCAGTGTATGGACCAGTGTATGGACCAGTGTATGGATCAGTGTATGGAACAGTGTATTGAGCAGTGTATTGAGCAGTGTATTGATCACTGTATGGACCAGTGTATGGATCAGTGTATGAATCAGCGTATGGGCCAGTGTATGGATCAGTGCATGGACCAGTGTATGGATCAGTGTTTGGCCTAGTTTATGGATCAGTGTATGGCCCAGTGTATGGATCAGTGTATGGATCAGTGTATTGATCAGTGTATGGGCCAGTGTATGGATCAGTGTTTGGCCTAGTTTATGGATCAGTGTATGGCCCAGTGTATGGATCAGTGTATGGATCAGTGTATGGATCAGTGTATGGACCAGTGTATGGATCAGTGTATGGACCAGTGTATGGATCATTGTATGGCGCAGTGTATGGATCAGTGTATCGATCAGTGTATGGACCAGTGTATGGACCAGTGTATGGATCAGTGTATGGATCAGTGTATGGATCAGTGTATGGATCAGTGTATGGACCAGTGTATGGACCAGTGTATGGATCAGTGTATGGACCAGTGTATGGATCAGTGTATGGATCAGTGTATGGATCAGTGTATGGACCAGTGTATGGATCAGTGTATGGACCAGTGTATGGATCAGTGTATGGATCAGTGTATGGATCAGTGTATGGACCAGTGTATGGATCAGTGTATGGACCAGTGTATGGATCAGTGTATGGATCAGTGTATGGACCAGTGTATGGATCAGTGTATGGATCAGTGTATGGATCAATGTATGGACCACTGAATGGATCAATATATGGACAAGTGTATGGACCAGTGTATGGACCAGTGTATGGATCAGTGTATGGATCAGTGTATGGATCAGTGTATGGATCAGTGTATTAGGAGCAGTGTATGGATCATGTATGGCTCAGTGTATGGTTTCATGTATGATCCATGTATGGATCAGTGTATGGACAGTGTATGGACCAGTGTAGGGTACCAGAAAAGTGTAGGAACCAGTGTATGGATCAGTGTATGGACCATATAGGATCGGGTATGTGGAATCAGTGAAATGGAACATCAATATATGGATCAGTGTATGGAACCAGTGTATGGACCATATATGGATCAGTTATGGATCAGTGTATGATCCATGTATGGATCAGTATGTGACCAGTGTATGGACATTATGGATCAGTGTATGTGATCATGTAGTGGACCATATATGGATCAATATGATGACCAGTGTATGGACCAATTATGATCGTATGTGAACCAGGTTGACCATGTATGGATCAGTATGTACCATGTATGGACCAATATATGGATCAGTATGTGAACCAGTGTATGGACCAATATATGGATCAGTATGTGAACCAGTGTATGGACCAATATATGGATCAGTATGTGAACCAGTGTATGGACAATATATGGATCAGTATGTGAACCAGTGTATGGACCAATATATGATCAGTATGTGAACCAGTGTTGGACCAATATATGATCAGTATGTGAACCAGTGTATGGACCAATATATGGATCAGTATGTGAACCAGTGTATGGACCAATATATGGATCAGTATGTGAACCAGTGTGTGGACCAATATATAGATCAGTATGTGAACCAGTGTATGGACCAATATATGGATCAGTATGTGAACCAGTGTGTGGACCAATATATAGATCAGTATGTGAACCAGTGTATGGACCAATATATGGATCAGTATGTGAACCAGTGTATGGACCAATATATGGATCAGTATGTGAACCAGTGTATGGACCAATATATGGATCAGTATGTGAACCAGTGTGTGGACCAATATATGATCAGTATGTGAACCAGTGTATGGACCAATATATGGATCAGTATGTGAACCAGTGTGTGGACCAATATATGGATCAGTATGTGAACCAGTGTATGGACCAATATATGGATCAGTATGTGAACCAGTGTGTGGACCAATATATGGATCAGTATGTGAACCAGTGTTGGACCAATATATGGATCAGTATGTGAACCAGTGTGTGGACCAATATATGGATCAGTAATGTGAACCAGTGTATGGACCAATATATGGATCAGTATGTGAACCAGTGTGTGGACCAATATATGGATCAGTATGTGAACCAGTGTGTGGACCAATGTATGGTTGTAAATTATTCTGATACGAATTCCTTTACGCTACAACAACAATAACCAAAACAACAGCAACAGCAACGACGATAACAACATTAACAATAATAATAATAATAATAATAATAATAATAATATTAATTAATTATATTATTATTATTTATTAATTATTATTAATATTATTATTATATATTATATTATTATTCTCATTTTTATTAATCATTATCTATTATTTCATATTATTATTATTATTATTATTATTATTATTATTATTATTATTATTATGTGCATGTTAAGCCTGGTGATCATTGTGCTCTCAGAGTACCGGAGGCTGCATCTCAAGATGGTGATCCTGGCCGGAATCTTCTACATGTTCCTGAGAACTTGTCTCCTACCTCAGGAGACCAACCTGATCACCAGCAGTGTTCCTGCTCTGATCTCTCTCTCCTTCACACACAACACTACCAACCAAACACACACCAACCAAACACACACCAACCACACACACACCAACCACACACACACCACCCACATACACGCCGCCCACATACACGCCGCCCAGGAGCGTTCAACTACACGCCAGGTAAGATCTTGTTTGTACAGTTTAAAATTACCTGTTAAGAACTGTTATCCTGCCTCATATGATGGTGACCTGAATAAATGGCACTGATTGTGTAACCTGATAGTAATTAATAAGACATGATATTAATAATGTGGCAGGAAAGGAATAGTATAACCAGACGGCAGCCACCAGACAGTAATAATGTTTCTCGATATTTATATTGTGATTAAATATTTAACAATCTGGTCACATTATTAAGATTTTAGAGAAAAAATATAGCAAGCAGGAGACGATGACAACACAGCAAGCAGGAGACGATGACAACACAGCAAGCAGGAGACGATGACAACACAGCAAGCAGGAGACGATGACAACACAGCAAGCAGGAGACGATGACAAACACAGAAAGAGGAGACGATGGACAACATAGCAAGCACGAGACGATGACAACACAGCAAGCACGAGACGATGACAAAACAGCAAGCAGGAGACGATGACAACACAGCAAGCAGGAGACGATGACAACACAGCAAGCAGGAGACGATGACAACAAGCAAGCAGGAGACGATGACAACATAGCAAGCAGGAGAAGACGTGACACACACAGCAAGCAGGAGACGATGACAACACAGCAAGCAGGAGACGATGACAACACAGCAAGCAGGAGACGATGACAACACAGCAAGCAGGAGACGATGACAACACAGCAAGCAGGAGACGATGACAACACAGCAAGCAGGAGACGATGATAACACAGCAAGCAGGAGACGATGACAACACAGCAAGCAGGAGACGATGACAACACAGCAAGCAGGAGACGATGACAACACAGCAAGCAGGAGACGATGACAACACAGCAAGCAGGAGACGATGACAACACAGCAAGCAGGAGACGATGACAACACAGCAAGCAGGAGACGATGACAACACAGCAAGCAGGAGACGATGAAACACAAGCCAGAAGCAAGCAGGAGCACAGTGACAACACAGCAAGCAGGAGACGATGACAACACAGCAAGCAGGAGACGATGACACACAGCAAGCAGAGACGATGACAACACAGCAAGCAGGACGATGACAACACAGCAAGCAGGAGACGATGCAACACAGCAAGCAGGAGACGATGACACACAGCAAAGCAGGAGACGATGACAACACAGCAAGCAGGAGACGATGACATCACCGCAAGCAGGAGCGATGAACAATACAGCAAGCAGGAGACGATGACAACACAGCAAGCAGGAGACGATGACAACACAGCAAGCAGGAGACGATGGCAACACAGCAAGCAGAGACGATGACAACACAGGCAAGCATGAGACGATGACAACACAGCAAGCAGGAGACGATAAACACGCAAGCAGGAGACGATAAACACAGCAAGCAGGAACGATAAACAACACAGCAAGCAAAGGAGACGATAAACACAGCAAGCAGGAAGACAGATGACAACACACAAGCAGAGACGATACAACACAGCAAGCAGAGACGATAACAACACAGCAAGCATGAGAGACGATAACACAGCAACAGGAGACGATAACAACACAGCAAGAAGGAGAAGATCACACAGCAAGCAGGAGACGATACAACAGCAAGCAGAGACGATGACAACACAGCAAGCAGGAGACGATAACAACACAGCAAGCAGGAGACGATGACAACACAGCAAGCAGGAGACGATAACAACACAGCAAGCAGGAGACGACTAAACACAGCAAGCAGGATACGACTATACAACACAGCAAGCACGGAGACGATGGCAACGACAGCAAGCAGGAGAACGATGACAACACATCAAGCAAGGAGACGATGAACAACACAGCAAGCAGGAGACGATGACAACACAGCAAGCAGGAGACGATAACAACAGAGCAAGCAGGAGACGATGACAACACAGCAAGCAGGAGACGATGACAACACAGCAAGCAGGAGGACGATGACAACACGCAACAGATACATAACAACAGAGCAAGCAGGAGACGATGACAACACAGCAAGCAGGAGACGATGACAACACAGCAAGCAGGAGACGATAACAACACAGCAAGAAGGAGAAGATCACACAGCAAGCAGGAGACGATAACACAGCAAGCAGGAGACGATGACAACACAGCAAGCAGGAGACGATAACAACACAGCAAGCAGGAGACGATAACAACACAGCAAGCAGGAGACGATAACAACACACCAAGCAGGAGACGACAACACAGCAAGCAGGAGACGATAACAACACAGCAAGAAGGAGAAGATAACACAGCAAGCAGAAGACGATAACAACACTGCAAGCAGGAGACGCTAACACAGCAAGCAGGAGACGATAACAACACAGCAAGCAGGAGACGATAACAACACAGCAAGCAGGAGACGATAACACGCCAAGCAGGAGACGATAACACAGCAAGCAGGAAACGATAACAACACAGCAAAAAGGAGAAGATAACACAGCAAGCAGAAGACGATGACAACACAACAAGCAGGAGACGATAACAACACAGCAAGCAGGAGACGATAACAACACAGCAAGCAGGAGACGATAACACAGCAAGCAGTAGACGATAACAACACAGCAAGCAGGAGACGATAACAACACAGCAAACAGGAGACGATAACAACACAGCAAGCAGAAGACGATAACAACACAGCAAGCAGGAGACGATAACAACACAGTAAGCAGAAGACGATAACAACACAGCAAGAAGGAGACGATAAAAACACAGCAAGCAGGAGACGATAACAACACAGCAAGCAAGAGACGATAACAACACAGCAAGCATGAGACGATAACAACACAGCAAGCAGGAGACGATAATATAGCAAGCAGGAGACGATAACAACACAGCAAGCAGAAGACGATAACAACAGAGCAAGCAGGAACGATAACAACACAGCAAGCAGGAGGCGATAACTCAGCAAGCAGGAGACTAAAGCAACACAGCAAGAGGGAGACGATAACACAGCAAGCAGGAGACGATAACGCAGCAAGTAAACACCGGGAAAACCCAGAGCACACACCGTTTTTCCTGTAGCTGTGACAATCGTCACGTTGATAAAGTTCAACCAGACACTTGTGACAAGGGTCATAGAACACCCTGTATAAGTGCAGAGCGCTTAATGTAAATGATAAATACATTATACATCGATACGCCAATAGTCAACTTATCTCAGAACGTGATAGAGAATCTTCCTTAAGCAGTATTTGCCAATTTCCGCTTTCCTGTCACTTGTGAAGTAGTGAATGATTTACATAGCGTATTTGAGATTCTTATTGATTATGCTGTGTCTGTTATTGATAGTAAGGACAATTTCTCTCCGGTCCTTCGAGATAATGCAAAGCTAAACCCTTAGAATTATTCTTGGCTGTCCTCAAACTAGCAACGACCTTGTTATGATGAAGGAGTTTGGTGTTCTAGTGTGAGTGTTAGGATTATTGAGACTAATTATGGAATGTTAGGAAATATACCACATACTAGCACTATGAATCTTACTAACTGTCTAGACATAGATACACAAACATCAAAATGGGTTGTAAAAGTATGCATTTATATTAAGTTTTATAACCTGCATGAACTGTATCACTGTAAATAACAAGATCATTTCTCCCCTCAATGGAAGATGTGATCATTAAATACCCAAAACCCTGAAGTCCATCCCTAGAAAACTCATCACTATATTCCCTTTCCCTTTAAAATCCTTCAGAAGCAAATAAAATTTCTGTCTAACTGGGGGTAATAAATTATAACATGGGGAGGGTTTAGAAGACACGTAAGCAAACACTAAAAAAAATTTTTATTAGAAAACTTTGGCCGGGGACCTTGATCATTTCTAACTACAGAGGTATTTGTTTTGTTTAATTTTTCGCCAAGATCGTGCCGGGCCCGGGGCTAAATTTTGCGATGCCCCGTCTCGGGCCCCCCGAGGGGAAAGGTTTTTTCAATGATGCGACATAGTGTTCAAGCACTCTTCGGTCATTCAACTGGTGATCTCATAAGCGACAACCCGTATGTACCCCTAACTTGGACACTGCGAGGGGGAGGATTTTTTTCGTTTCACAGGTAAAGCTTGCCCGGTTCGTTGACCCAGGGTACACTTGGGCCCAGTCATCCTGGTTCCTTTCGGGGGGGGGGGGAAATATCACTCCTAGTGCCCGGGGCTCGAACTTCGCACTCAAAGAATGTTTAGGGGCCGTGGACAACGGTTTACAGTACGGGCACATCTCCTCCTCCCCTTTTGTCTACCATAAATTTGGCTTTTGGGAAACCCCAAAAAACGAACCGATGGATGGCGGTTCATTTGCGCTCTGGACCACTTCTATCATTGGGAGGGGTTCCCCCTGGTCGCTGCTGGGTACCACTTTGAGATGGGGTATCCCAAGACCTCCCCCATAAGTTTCATGGCTCTGGCAGCCACCAGTTTGGTTGTGTAGGTGATTGGGCAGTAATCCCAACAGTGGAAGTTGTTGCTCCCCTTGGCTGCATATCTGCCGCCTCTTTCCCCCGGATGCCAGCATGGCGGGGATCCAGTTAAAATGCGATCTGTTCCCCTGAATTCAAAGGCGTCTTATGTCGGGATGGGTTTGATGAGGTGAACTTGTCCTGTGGTTAGGAGGGGAGAGGGATTGATTGCAGACGGGATCAAATTTTGACGGGTCGGGTCGTGTCTGGGCATGTAAAATCCTGCTGAATCGCCACCACCCGTTTAAAGGTCGTGCGTGGTCAGGGAGCCCCCTTGTGTGTGACCATTTGGTACAGCCCGCTGCTGCTCTCTTCCTTCGGGGTCGACAAAAACCATCTGTGAAATAATGCCATGTGCCTCCCTTGCCAGTCCCATGCTTGTTCAGCTGATTTGAGAGTGTCTGACTGCAAGACGTTAGAGTGGGTACTGCATGATGCAAACACGGTGGGTCTGGGCGCGGGAGGTGGGGATGGTACCCAGCAACGCAACGGAAGGTCACAATTTTCCTCAAGGAGGGGGTTTATAGGCAGCACTTCCGCCCGCAGCACAAAAGAACGAACCCAGGA